TTAATTTATGCCAGTATTGATATTTTTTTCTTTTGATGTTGGGGTGAAACATGACCTGATCATGTTCTTCATGAGATTCACCCAATGGGCCATGAAATGCGTCATAGAGAGTTCTGAACGCCTGTTATGTCTCCTACTTCATGCTAGTGAGCAATAATCATGATTTATTGGCCTTTGTTAAAACCTCTGTCTTTCAGCACAGCACATTACTCAATATAGAACGCTGCAATAATACCTTCAACTTTATTTGCTTAGATTATATGATTATACATGAAAAGGCCACATGAGGAAAAGCAAAATTGGTATGTAGCATAGCGACACATTCATCATTGTGTATGTGCTTGGCTGGGAGTGTGTGTTTGTGTAAGCAGGTGCATACTGGTGTGTGTATGAGTGTGAGTTGATTGTTACCCCTAATTGAAAGTGATAAATGGAGCAGACGCTGCATTGGCTGTACCTCCAGCTATAACAACCCCCCATTTATTAAAGCTATCAAAATACAATCGTTTGCCAAACTCAGACAACAGTTGGACAATGGGGCACCACCACTGGGAGTAGGACCTTTATAGCTGCCTGTTGTCATTGGGTTGGTTGGACAACTGGACTAACCAAACAGATAAACCTGAATAAACAGCACAAACTAATATTTAGTGCTGTGGGAGAGAATTAGATGCTTTATGTGTGTCTTTGTATGCATGTGTGAGAGGCAAAAGGCCAAATCTATGATCTGATCAACTAACTCAGCATGTACATAAACATCCATCCAAAAGAGAAGAGTACATCATGCAATCTTGCTGAAACCACAAGGAAATCAGTTGATTTACAACATCTTAGCATGCGAAGTCTCACTGAAGACATAAAATGAACTAGACTTTGACATTTTCTGTTTCCCTGCGCAAAACTCACTTAATGCATTGTTGTTGTGTGTGGTCGCCAGGGCCTTGCTATGTGGTTGTTAAAGTGTTTTTAGGTGACATGCCTTTGTGAAAAGAAGTGCACTTAATTGTATTGAATGTGCTCTTACTTTTTAAATCGAATATTTATGAAACAAAAGGCCACTTATAATTAAGAGACTTCACTTTCATGACTGTTTCTTAACACACGTACATACATTAAAGTATATTTTACCAAAAATGCTTGTCAGTACATTCTGCAGTACGGTATAACCATATTTCAAAGACAATTGATGTGATTATGAAATTATACATAGGCCTGGTTTCACAGACAGGGCTTAGATTAAGCCAGAATTAGACCTAGACCTTAGTTTAATTAGAAATTTAAGTAGCTTTTATAAATGTGCCTTCGAAAAAACATTACTGGTGTGCATCTTGAGACAAAACAATGGCACTGACTTATTTTAAGATACGTCAGTGCAAGTTTCTTTCTGTTAAACCAGCTCAAACATGCATTTTAGTCTGGGACGTCTGTGAAAGTTAATTGCATTTAATATCAATTTAAACTATAATACTTTTCTTTTTATTGCAATTAACAAGCAGTTAAGTGCCTGAAAACATTGCATTCAGTTTGCACTTTAAAGTATATCTCTATAAAGTATTTATAAAGTATCGTATGTCTGTCGTAAATACTCTTTTTTAAAGTATCCTAAAGTGTACTTCATTTCTCAAGGGTGCTTCCTACTACAATCGCCCCCCCCAACCCCACCCCCCCCCCCCCCCCCCAAAGTCTATGGGATTTCTTCTTACGTTTTACCATCCATCAGACAAAAAAAAAAAAAAAGTCCTGCAGGAAGAGATATGAACTGGTGTTTAATAGAGTTAGGGTTATATATTCAATTCCTCACTGTAAGTTTGTCATAGCAAACACCACTAAACATGTATCTAACGGTGATAAAACGGGTCATATACAGTATCTTAATGAAAATAAAAGAAGACAAGAAGAGTAACAAAGAGATGTTTACTAAAGAACTGAAAATGAAAGGACAAGTTGGAGGCGGGAATTGAGGTTAAGAGAGAAAGCTGAGGAGAAAAATGCCTCTGTAGACAGTCAGCTGCCACTAAATCGCTGTTGTCATGTTGATGACTGTTGTGGGTTTGCCTTTAATGTATTCAATCCCTCATAGATGTGAGATTAATTTCATGAATCCATATATCAATCCACTAAATGTCTCTTAATGGTGCCAGGATGTTTCTAAACCAAAGAGCATTAGAGTCTGCAAATACATGACTAATTGCAAAAGAGCAGCATTTCTCTGCAACATCCTGAGGGCACTTTCCTGTTCAATAGCAAAAACCACAGTGTAGGGCCATAGAGAAAGAATAAAACGATGAAAATAAAACAAGTGTGTCTCATGAACAGCACAGCGGTCACATGAACTTGGATGTCTTTGTTCTTAAAAGGCTAGTTTGCTTGAAAGTCAGACGCAAACAAGATGAAATTTAGAGCCGTGAGATATTTTGTCTTGCCTGCAGGCTTACCATGAGGCCGAGAGAAGATTACATTAATCTTCACTACTGTTCTTTGGCACAGCGGCGTCCAACTAGATGATGCCAGGTAAATAGCAATGTTCGTGGGTCGGAGGCTCGGAGCCTTAGGACAACCATAAATTCAGAACTAATTGGCTAAATTTCTTCTTTGTTTTTAACAAGCCCACCATGGTCTTCTGAACAGGGAGCTATTGGAGGTTAGAGGTACTTTGTAAACTCTTCAGTTCTGCTCTCATGCTGCATTCACTATCAACAATACTAACATCATGTCATGACCAGGCACGACAGCAATAAGCAATAGCAATAAAAACACATCAATGTAGGGGACTTCACACATAAAGGTTAAATTGCTGTACAGTTTTTACTTGACTGGCAGTAGATCACATGAGCTTTTTCTACACTCTCATTGGTTAAAGTCACTTTGAATTGCCAACTCACATTAAACATGATACTTTTGGTCACTTTGTTTTGGTCCAGATCGCTGCCAATGTGAATGACCCTGAATAGTTTTGACCAACTATTCTGATTTACATATGGTAGAAGGCTGACGTAATCCAAACGTTCATTAAAATATTTTTAAACGTTTTAAATTAGACACAGAGCCTTTCTCTGAACCACAGATGATTTTCAATGAGGCATTACATGCAACTTTATACTGTAGCCGATTATCATTCATATGCTGAACTCATGTGTTTCCAATATCGTGTTGCATGTGGAGATTTGCAGCCGTAAAAATGTGACTAAGCCTGCTCATAGTTATTATCAGTTATGAAACACCTCTGATGCCCTGCAAGCTCGTGGTAAAGGCCATTTGTTATGAGGGAGAATAATATTACAGCATCAACATTATAACGCATAACACAGATAACGCATTTTCACTTCATTTTGCAATATACAATTTCATTTGGATTGATTTGAGGGATAATACAATGAGAAACTCAAAATGAGGGGAACAACTTGTGGACTAATTTGTTAGACACTGTGCAAATATGTCCATTGAAAGGAGGAGAGTTTGCAATTAATTCCTATTGTAAATCATGTTATCAAGGAACTAAAGGAATTCTCATAAAAAAAAGTTACTGCTTTCTGACCAACAAGACGCAAGATGGAGAATAATTTAAATTTAAAATGTAAAAACCTTTATTTGTTAGCATGCAAAATAAACTCTGCCCTGAAGAAAGACCATTTCTTTGTCCACATCCACAGAAGAGTTGTTTTTGCACTTGATACCTGATAAATTCATGAGTATAAACATTTTGCTTTTGGCATCCCATTTAAACGGTTTTCCTTACCTCTTTATAGAAAGGTTCATTTGAATATAATGAATAATACATGAGTACAAAGCTATGAAAGCACAATGGAAGAAGGCCCGATTTCTGTGAAGTTTCATATCATAATTTGTCAAGATATTATCTTTTTACCATAGATAATGGTTCTCAATCGAAAACACTGTGGCCAACTGGGTGAATCTCACAAAGGAATATATATTACATATATATATATATATAAAATTATGCATTTGCACTGATTTTCATTTCATGAGATTATGACATAAAATCTACAATAATTCCATCCAGAACAAATACCATGATTTACCACACACACACACACTTATTTACTTATTTGTCATAAAAATGTCACAATGCCAAAAACAAAAAAAATTCTGTTGTTTATGCAAAAAAAAAAAAAAAAAAAAGAGTCTTTGTGAGATTCACTCAGAGACTAATAGTCTTTTGACAAACATATGCTGCATAAAACCATGTTATCCAGACACAAGGGCAGGACACTGGCACAACACATCAAAGATATTTCTTTTCAGTCTTATACATTTGGAAACAATACTCAAAAAATAGAGCAGGAGGACCCTTCAGCACAACAGCCCCAGCTTCATCTGTATCTTATCACCGTAACAGTCCCTTAAACAGAAAAAGCTGGGGAACACATGAGGAACTGAGCCAGACTGAGTCTTCAAAGAGCAAACAGGCTTCACGGAGGAGGGGTCTCGCTCAGCGGCCCTCATAAGGGCTGGTTCTCATCATTCTGACAATAAAAATGAGTGGAATAAAAAACAAAGCAAAACGTCTCTTTTGAAAAAAAAAAAAAAAAAAGCAGCCGGAGATTTTTGCAAACTGGCTCTCTTTCTTCAAAAGATCCTACTTCTAGAGCTTAGAAGAGGTTATCCTCCTGCTGGAATGCTTTTGGAGAGAAAATCCGGCACATTCTTCGCAGACTCCCTGTGGATAGAGGGACAGAAAGGACCATAGAAGGTTGCTAATTCTGTTGCTCAGGGTCCGACACTAGAATGGCGTACACTTCCATAAAAACAGGGCTGCACAAGCATGCAATAAAACAGTCCTCAAAACTCCACAAACAGCACAGTATGCATCTCTCTCTCTCTCTCTCTCTGTGTGTATATATATATATATATATATAAAGAGTTGTCCCCTTTTGAAGCTGGTCAGCCCCTTAAATCCAATAAACAAGGCACTTGAGCACTATAGAGGTGGGCAATATTCCAGTACACGACAATGGAGATTGGTGTGGGGTGGGGGGTTAGTTGGTTGTTGGTGGTCAGAGTTAATTTATGGCTTCTGCCCCTTTCTTGGACTAATCCTCAAACATCCCATGATGATTGAGAAGCAAAAGCCAACTCTGCAAATGCGATTGAGAAGCAAAGGCCAATTCTGTGCAGACTTGAGGGGGAGGTGTGCTTGTTATAAAGGCTTCGACAAGACAGGCATTACATGCTTTTCACAAGAAAATGTGCCTACTTAAATATGTCTACATGTTCGCGACACATACGAGCATTTTCCAAGTATAAATGCAATAGAAAACAAGTTCATTAAAGGAGCTTGGTTTTGGAAGTGTTCATGTCCAATCACACATCAGCTGTTGTAGAAAATTGTGACAATCTGGGATCTGAATCGATCTCATATCGGTAGTGATACCCTTCCCAGACTTCCCGGCATGCGTCACGCATGTCGTTGATGCGCTTCTTAATACCTTTACGGTTCAGGTAGAGCACAAAGAGAAACATGAGACCAACAAATCCCAGCACGAGACCCAGGAACACGTAGGAGGTCTGCAGTGCTAGGTTGTCACCCTCTCCAACCTTATGGCAACCCAATTCCATTTCACCCACAGTCAATAGAGATGTGTTCTGCAATGCGACGGGGAACGCACAAGTCAGGCGCTCAACGTCCTCTACACGCACTCGTGAGCCGTTCAGCCAGGCGGCAAAAGGCTCGATGTCACATGTGCAGGTGTAAGGATTCTCCGCCAAGTGGAGCCTAACAAAACGCAACTGATCCATCTCCTTTAAAGCCTCTTCACGCAAAGTCCTGAGGGCATTATGGGTGAGATCGAGCTCCTTGAGGTGATCTAGTCCTGTAAATGTGCCGTTATGTATGGACACTATAGAGTTGTTGGAAAGCTGAAGGCGCTGCAGGCCGACAAGATGGCAAAAGATGCCAGGGGGCAAGTAGACAAGGCCATTACTGGACAGGTCCAGCCTCAGCAGGTCACTCAAAGTACTCCAGCGAAGAGATGTGGCCAAATCGATGACGGACGAGTGGTTGTAGAGAGCCCGACTGAGGTTGAGCTCCCTCAGCATACGGCTCTGGACAGTGAACGCCTCAGGATGGATGATGGCCAGCTGGTTGTTGCTAAGGTCCAGCGATCTGAGGCTACGCAGACTAGTAAATGTGTGAGACTTCACCTCAGAGATCCTGGACAGAGAAAAATTAACAATTTTAATCTACACTCTTGAAAATAAAAGTTCCAAAAGGGGGGTTACGCAGTGATGCCTTTGAAGAAGCATTTTGGATTCCCCAAAGAACATTTCAGTGATTTTTTTTTTCTTTGTGTGAATAACATTTTAATAATCTAAATTTAATAATCTAGACTTTTTCCTCTATAAAAGAACCTTTTGTGTAATGCAACTGTTCCATTAATGTTAAAGGTTCCTCATGGGTCCATGATTGTCAAGGCCAATAATTTGTTTTAATCCATGTCAGTTTAGGCTATTTTCATGGCAAGGACGGTAACACTTTTGAATGAAAATGCATATAAATTGATAAGCATATTTAAAAGGACATAACACCAACAGGAGATAAAACGTTTTTTTTTGTTAACACTATTAAACCCCTTTTCGGGGAACTTTCTGAATAAAACAATGTTATGATGATGATGGGGTGTTACCATCTGGCCCTGTGGTCACATCCTTGACTAATAAGATCCTACTTAATTTCTTAATTAAACTGTTTTACTAGTTCATACATACTTCAGCACAATGTATAGAATCTGGTTCAGTTAAAAATAAAAATAAAACAAGATTATCTGAGGGTCAATAAAACCTGTACACACATTAAACATCTTAGGGCTTCTATTTGAGCTTTCTCTTTTGAAAAGAGTACCTTTGTAAGCACAGTTTATACCGAAATGCAGAAACATGTAACTTAGATGTAGTCTTTACCGTCTTTAAAATAAGAAATTAAAATGACAGAAAGCTTCAGACACAGTTTGAAGGAGATCCCATATAAATTCAACATGACTTAACTCTAGTAACAGTGGTTAACATAATGGCATTTTAAGGGTCAAGATGAATTAGATCATTGACTTTACCTGTTGTTAGGCAGTGATAAATTTGTCACGTTGTCCAGTCCTTGGAAAGATTCGGGTCCGATCTGACTGATGTGGTTTCCGATGATGAAGAGGTTTCTGGTGTAGCTCGGTATGCCGGTCGGTATGTCCCGCAGATCTTTAGAAACGCATTTGACCGTGAGCGCGGCTTCTGAACACTCGCAGCCGGCTGGACACACCGATGCGCCCGCGGAGAGCGCAGCACACAGCAGCCCGAAAACAAGCGCGCACTGTCCAAGGGCAAACATGGTGAAATATCAGCAAAACCTCATCAATCTCACTAAAGAAATGCCCTCATTTAGCGTGTGAGCGCGTCCAGGGATCCTCTTCTCCAAAGTCGCTCTCCAAGTCCCGCGTGCTCTTAACTTCACTCAGTAGTGTGTGTGTGTGTGTGTGTGTGTGTGTAGTCTCCCCGCGTGCTCGACTTCTTTGCATTAGAGAAACTCATGTATGAATGAGAGGCAGACACTTTATTTCCATGAGAAAAAGAGGTTCTCTGTGTGGGGCGTTTGATCCGCTTCTCTCAAACAATGGGACTGAATCACTACTGCTCTCAACAATCAGCAGGGAGGAGCTTTGGACTCACACCTCTCCCCCTCCGCTTCACCATATAGACCGATACTAGGATCACTCACATCTCACACTCGTCACAGTGATTGATAGGCCTAATTAATAGCGATTAAAGCTCATCAAAATATTACACAATCCAAGATCTCTCAGTTTAGTCGATCTTTCACTTCAGTAGGCTATTATAGCTCAAGGTCTCCAATTTGCCTAATGCCAATACACACTTAAAACTGTTCAAAAGTTCCTTGTAGGTTCTGCAAAGGATTTTGGTTCTTGACAAAGTTATAAATGCTACACCAGAGCAGTGGTTTTCAATTAGGGGGTGATGGGTAAACTTTCAAAGGGGGCATTTACCCATAATATACCAGCCAAAAGTGATGTCCAGAGGGGGTTGGCATGAGGATGTGTTTTTAATGATCATATTAGATCGATTAAACCATCAATATATATATATATATATATATAATTTTAAATGAGGGTATAACTCTAAACCTGGTTATATTTATCTGACAAAACTTTGGGGCAAAAAGGGGAAAACTGTTATATGTGTTTTATCTGTTTTGATTTCTTTAACCCTAAAACAATCTTGAAATTAATTATGATTCATTATTTGAATATATGACAGTCTTTGTTCCTTTTATTATTAATGCTTATATGCAGGGGCCTTTGAAACGGGATGAAAAGCACTGTAGAGCTTCTTTGGGTCAGTGTTATTGGCTTCAGGCTTTCTAAAGATTAATAGTTCAATGTTTTTGCATGGTGAAGTTGGGAACATTGATGTGATATCCCACTCTACAGGACTCCTCATCCTTTGAACTCGGCGGGGGTCTGTTGAAGTGCAGGGGGACAATAAGCTATGAATTCAACACATTGTTCTTTTGCCTGCCGAGTCAGTCATTTTGTTCTCTAGCGCAATTAAATGTTTCCAGGGCAACAGTGCAAAGGAGCACACAAAAAATAACATTTGAAAAATTCTGAAAATGCACGCATGTATCTTAAGTCATGCTATATATATCCTGAGTCAAAACCGTGTTGTCCACTTATAAAAAATGTATCAAATTATATAACTCATATAGTCTCTACATTTGTATTGAATAAGGCAGTGCTTGTTGTAAAATATAATGCACACCTGTTAAACCAGTTGTTGTTCAGAAACCATGAACAGTGTAATGAACTACAATACTTAGAAGAACTGTTTAACCTTATTGTTTATTAATTATGTATTTCATCATGCTGCTATTGAGACATTGTTTTATAGAAACAAATGCTGCTTTGCACTTAGAAAGATAAAAAAAAACATTGTAGTAGTAAACATATTTTATTGAAATCAATGATGCATGGACATTAAATATCATAACTTATATTGTTGGCAGAATCTGTTTGGATAATACAAAACTGGGAACTTTAAATGATTTAGAAGATGATGTTTCCAATGGTTTTTGATGACAGGATATTGGCTTTTGCCATTGGTTTTCTTGTTATGGTCACAGACTCAGCTATGGGGAAATACATTGTGCAAACTCAATAACTCGATTTAAAACCACCATTACTGGGTGCTTTGGAGTAAAAGGAAAAGTAAATGACAATGAAAGACCAGTAGACCACTTTAAACTGATGCACAATTTATAAAAGAAATCGGATAAAGCATGCAGTCATCTTTTTCGCGTTCTTATATTGAATGCAGAATAGTGTAGAAGGTTATTGTATTATGAATATAAAAATAGGTGGTAACTCATCTGGAATAAGAAAGGCCTTGTGAATGTTTTTATTTTACCCTGTTTCTAGTTGTTCCATGTGCTCTTACTGAATGGTTAGATTAGATTTAGATTTTTTTAACCCTAAATAACTTTATCTATAACACTCAACAACATACTGCAGTTAGAAGGCAAAATACATGCGGCCAGTTCTCTATAAGACAAGCTATATAATTACAAAGATTCTTATGACCTGATATTAAAATGCATTTGATTATTAGCTATAAATAAGAAAGCGAGAACAATCAACTGTTAAATACCAATCGCCAATATCATACTTTCTCAGTAGCAGACATGCGTACTTAGTTATAACAACTTAAAATTGGTTGAGATAACTTAAATATCCAACTTAACTAAAGTTAACTAAACTTAATATTTTAAGTCAAGCACGAACACGTACTTTTAATAAGTTGAAACAAATTATTTCTTGTTGAATGTTGAATTTTAAGTTGTGATAATCACAGAAATCCATTTTTTACAGTACAGAATATGCTAAATAAGCAAACATTCATGTGCACGCGCAAACACACACACACACACACACACACACACACAACACTAATGCAGCAGCAGAAGGTTTGAGGTGACAGTTTCGTGAGTATTAAAAGTTATTTGTTAGTAATTGTGCAAAGGTAATAGGCAGCAGCGCTGAAAAGAAAAAAAACATCTGCAGCTCTTTTTTACACATAGTATAGATAAGTTGTAAATTAGCCGATAGCCAATAACACAAACATGGAATCTACTAACAAAAATCTATCAAATATTTAAGTCCCCCTTTCCATAGGGAAGCCTATAATGTCTCATTGCTTTTTAAAGGCAGAGCACAAATCCAATGTTTTTGTATTATCTAACAAACATGAAAACCTTTTTAAAAAAAAAAATTTATTAGAAACGAAACCATACTTTGTAGCTGCGTCACATATTTTACCAAATGATTCCCCCATTAGAAGAAGGGGAACATTAATTCTAACTGTGACATCCCAATCATTTGGAAAAGTAGACCTTTACAAAGAATTGTGTTGACAATGACTACATTTTGTCAAGCTCAACCATTCAAACATGTTAGTAATCATGTTATTTTCAATAATTTATGAGAAATAAAAGTTAACCAATAATTACAAGTCAACAATTGGTCCCAAACAAGCCAAATTCGCAAGCCTGTAATAAATTATACATATCATATAATTGTTATTTTTTTATTTAAAAATCACACAAATTAGCCCTGTAAACAAATATTAAAAAAAAAAAAAAAAAAAAAAAAAAAAAAAAAAATACATTTTTTTTTTTTATAAATAGTTTCAGGCCCTTTTGTCCACTATTTGTGGAAAGTGGCATGTGAATTTTAACATTTTATATATTATAGACAGGATTTCAGTGAATGAATGAATGAATGTTTTATAAAAGTATAAACCTGTGGAATGCCATCATCTTTAGGGATTACAAACAGGAAATGGGAACTTCTGGGCTGCGGTGACTATTAAAACAGTTAAATGTGCTTCTGATCCACTAGTTCACGTCTTTGAAGACAGGAAAGCCGTCGGTAAGAGCGTCACACTTCACACGGGCTTTCTAATCTGATCAGCTCTAGCTGGTGCAAGCAGGGGCCACACACTCCTCACACACACAGCAGCCCCATCTGAAGAGTCTCCAAAGAGCTCAAGACACTTGGCTACCTGCTGCTCTTGGCAATACTTCCAAAGGCCGAGAGAGTGTGAAAGGGGGAGTGAAATGAAAAAATGTGAGAAGAGAGAAATAGGTATAAGAGGGGAGTTCAGTGATTTTTCCTTTTGAGTCGAAACAAAGAGGGGATTTCATTTACGCACAGGAGCCATGGAAACGGATTTGGTGTCCAGACCATAGTCTAAGATTACAGCAGGATTCGATGTGTCTGAAACTAAATGCACAGTTCAATGCGACAGTGGAGAAGAGCAAACAGACCTCTAACAGGATTTCTGTGTTCTAGATTACAGTAATGGAGGTTAGATTCGATCCAGAACACCAAGGGCCCAATTTGACCTCAGGTTTGTTTTTCTACATTATACACCAATCAGATCCATTCAAATGTACGAGTGAAACGTTTTCACCCAAAATCACAAGGAAACTAAAACATATTTTGCATAAAGAAAATAAAGCCTGCTATTAGGAGGATATCTTATTGTTTTCATGACATTTAAAAAAAAATTCCCCCAAAATGTCATTACTGTAAACACAGTATTTACTGTTATTACTATAAAAATAATGTAATATTATTGAGGGCCCAATTTGATTTCAGTTTTGTTTTTCTTCCTGGTTACACACCAATCAGATCCATTCAGATGTACGAGGGAATCTCACAAAAACAGGTCATTTACATCCAAAATCAGAAGGAAATATGAATATATTTTGCATAAAGAAAATAAAGCATGTTATTGGGATAATTATTTTTAATGAAAAAATCAATATACACTTAAAGTGGTACTTCATATAACTGTATAAATACAATATAATATTAGTTGTTGTCATGTAGGAAATGTGCTTAATTGCCATGAAAAAACATTCTCAAGATAATATAAAAATAGGCTTCATTTACTTTGAACAAAAATTATTTTGATCTTGGGGCGAAATAATGACACACACACACACACAGTTGTGTGTTTATTTATGAAGATGTGTGTGTGTGTGTGTGTAATGATTGTTAGACTAGGCATAATACTATGCCATTATACCCTTTGAAATTTCTTTTAAAAACAAAATTTGAAAGCATTAAAAGTGTCATTTTTCAGAGCAAAGCTTTAAAACAGAACATCCAAAACTGCTGCAATGTGAATTCTCAGGACAACAAAGATTTATTAATGTCAGCAACATGACATCAAAATGATGACCTCATTTATTTTCCTTTGCTCCTAGTCTTACTGTGCAGGATTAGATTAGGATTGTGTATAGAAAAATAACCCCTGGTTTCACAGACAAGGCTTAAGCCTAGTCCCAGACTATAAAGCACGTTTGAGCTGTTTTAACTGAAATAAACTTGCACTGAGATTATCTTGTCTCAAGATGCACACCAGAAATGTTTTTTTGTTCTAAGGCACATTTAAAAAAGCTGCCCTGACTATGGCCTAATCCTGGATTTGTCAATGCCATGTCTGTGAAACTGGGCATAAATGTCTGTCTTTGTAATAATTCCTCAAATTAACCGACTAAATCAACGGCCCCTTTAAGCTAAAGTCACCAATGCCACTTCAATTTCAACCCCTAGCGTTCAAGTCTGGCTCTGTTCTGCTATGGAACATCAATTCCCAGTGGATAAAGTCAAGACCCAGCCTACATTTTTCCTCACTGAATATCCTGTTTCACTTAGGAATGTCACATTAGAATGTCACAAATAGGTTAAGAATGCCATTTCATAAATATGTTATATAACTAGAAAATTAATAAAAAATAAATTATATAATATAATAATAGCTGGTAACAATAGTTTGATGCAAAGAATGTTTTAAATCTATAATGAATACAAGACTTTGCTTATGCATTAATTATCAATTTTTCTATGTGTGTGTATATCCAGGTCCTTCTAAAAAAAAATTAGCATTTTGTGATAAAGTTCATTATTTTCCATAATGTAATGATAAAAATTAACACTTTCATATATTTTAGATTCATTGCACACCAACTGAAATATTTCAGGTCTTTTATTGTTTTAATACTGATGATTTTGGCATATATGAAAACCCAAAATTCCTGTCTCAAAAAATAAGCATATCATGAAAAGGGTCTCTAAACGAGCTATTAACCTAATCATCTGAATCAACTAATTAACTATAAACACCTGCAAAAGATTCCTGAGGCTTTTGAAAACTCCCAGCCTGTTTCATTACTCAAAACCGCAATCATGGGTAAGACTGCCGACCTGACTGCTGTCCAGAAGGCCATTATTGACACCCTCAAGCAAGAGGGTAAGACAGAAAGAAATTTCTGAACAAATAGGCTGTTCCCAGAGTGCTGTATCAAGGCACCTCAGTGGGAAGTCTGTGGGAAGGAAAAAGTGTGGCAAAAAACGCTTCAGAACGAGAAGAGGTGACCGGACCCTGAGGAAGATTGTGGAGAAGGACTGATTCCAGACCTTGGGGGACCTGCGGAAGCAGTGGACTGAGTCTGGAGTAGAAACATCCAGAGCCACCGTGCACAGGCGTGTGCAGGAAATGGGCTACAGGTGCCGCATTCCCCAGGTCAAGCCACTTTTGAACCAGAAACAGCGGCAGAAGCGCCTGACCTGGGCTACAGAAAAGCAGCACTGGACTGTTGCTCAGTTTTGCATGTCATTCGGAAATCAAGGTGCCAGAGTCTGGAGGAAGACTGGGGAGAAGAAAATGCCAAAATGCCTGAAGTCCAGTGTCAAGTACCCACAGTCAGTGATAATAATAATAATAATTCATTACATTTATATAGCGCTTTTCTAGGCACTCAAAGCGCTTCACATGGAAGGGGGAATCTCCTCAACCACCACCAATGTGCAGCATCCACTTGGATGATGCGACGGCAGCCATAGTGCGCCAGAACGCTCACCACACGCCAGCTTACTGGTGGAGAGGAGACAGAGTGATGAAGCCAATCAGTGTATATATATATATATATATGGGGATGATTAGGAGGCCATGATGGACAGAGGCCACTGGGCAAATTTGTGATGGTCTGGGGTGCCATGTCAGCTGCTGGTGTTGGTGCACTGTGTTTTATCAAGGGCAGGGTCAATGCAGCTAGCTATCAGGAGATTTTGGAGCACTTCATGCTTCCATCTGCAGAAAACCTTTATGGAGATGAAGATTTCATTTTTCAGCACAACCTGGCACCTGCTCACAGTGCCAAAACCACTGGTAAATGGTTTACTGACCATGGTATTACTGTGCTCAATTGGCCTGCCAACTCTCCTGACCTGAACCCCATAGAGAATCTGTGGGATCTTGTGAAGAGAAAGTTGAGACGCAAGACCCAACACTCTGGATGAGCTTAAGGCCGCTATCGAAGCATCCTGGGCCTCCATAACACCTCAGCAGTGCCACAGGCTAATTGCCTCCATGCCACGCCGCATTGAAGCAGTCATTTATGCAAAAGGATTCCCGACCAAGTATTGACTATTGAGTGCATAACTGAACATAATTATTTGAAGGTTGACTTTTTTTTTGTATTAAAAACACTTATTTTATTGGTCGGATGAAATATGCTAATTTTTTGAGACAGGAATTTAGGGTTTTCATGAGCTGTATGCCAAAATCATCAGTATTAAAACAATAAAAGACCTGAAATATTTCAGTTGGTGTGCAATGAATCTAAAATATATGAAAGTTTAATTTTTATCATTACATTATGGAAAATAATGAACTTTATCACAATATGCTAATTTTTTGAGAAGGACCTGTATATATATATACACACACACACACATACATACACACATATAAAACAATTACACTTTAAAGCATGCCAATCAACAATATTAAAAGCAAAAGCTATATTTGTTGGTTAGCCTTGCCAATAAAACGACAAAGTGTGTTCTTAAATAAAAACAATATTAAAAGCGATAATTAAAATAAGCTTTCATATACATGGTAAGAAGGGAAATCCATCTTCCAGTATATCTCAATATATAATGCGCTGATTCTGCAATAAACTATGTTCTCAGAAAGAACATTGCATCCTTAGAAATATTCAAGTTATATTTAAAATATAAGACAATGTATACAAGACAATATAAGTAGTGTTATTTTTCCTAAACAGCAGTTTATAGTTATAGTTTGGAGATCAAAATCTAACCAAACAATGAATGAGCACCATAACCCTCAAGAGAGACACGAAAGTCATGCCTTTGGAAGACAGATTTTTGAGAGGAGCGTTTCTTACATCACCACAAGACGTTGAAGCCATGGTGTATGTGCTGTCTCTACCCTACGACAAAGAGGTCTAGCATTTGATGTTTGACGTGTAGCTTCTGTACCCATTGAAGAGCCGGACTTCAAGTTGACATTCATTGGAGTCCCCCTTAAGCTGAAGATATGTGTCCCCGATGGGCACCGGACATTGTGCCCACTCACCCTGAGCCGCCCCACCTCTATCTGATCCTGCTCGGTCATCGCAGGTTTAGAGACAGGGCAACAGCCAGGATGACGCTGGTTAAGATGCAGAATGGAAGCCAGGTCTTCAGCAAGCCAACGCAACTGTAGAAAGACAGAACAAAAAATGTCAGTGAGAGGGACACAGGAAGCGAGACAAATTTGAAGCGAAGATGAAAGAGTAAAATAAATGTTTTCGTATGCTAGTGGTGTTTGACTTGGACAAAAACTACGATAAAACCTGTTGGAAAGCATATTTTGCAGCGATTTTTGTGTGAGCATGTCAGTGAGCACCCCAGACCACTCGGTGAGTTTCACGTCTTTGTAAACTAGAGTTTAATGCGTTTTAGGAAGGATTGTTCCAGTGCACCTATGCAACCATTGTAGAGTTGGGGGGGGGGGGGGGGGGGCACCGAAAATTCTTGGGCCAGCAGCATGTGTCCGAATTTTCTTAACCGTTCTATTTCATCAGAAACGATCTTAAAACAGGGCTTAGAGTGTAAAATACCGAACTTGTCCTTTAAAGTATTCTTGAGAAGGGGGTTTAACTTGTCAAACAGTGGTGGATTTTTCTGGACCTCACCGATTAACTTCTTTGCAATGTCGTCTGCCATTTTAAATGCAGGAGCCCTTCAATTCGAATGGATTTTGATTGGCTGTCATGTTTTATCGTTGGGAAAAAAATCGCTCTGAAAGTGATCCCAACTATATAGTTCATCATTATAGCTGTGGTGTAGGGCGGTGAAACGATTAATCGCATCCAAAATCAAAGTTTGTGTTTACATAATATATGTGTGTGTGTACTGTGTACAATTATTTTGTATATATAAATACACACACACACATGCATGTATATACTGTTTATGTGTTTTATATCATTTATATTATATATAAATAATTTATATATAAATAACACACATTTCATTAAATATATACAAAATAATTATACACAGTACACACACATTTATTATGTAAACACAAACTTTTATTTTGGATGTGATTAATCGTTTCACAGCCCTACTGTGATGTGGACTCTGCTATTCTTTTATATTTAGAATGATTTTTAGAACAAAATCTTTATCGTTTTTGTTCTTGGTGTGAACGGGCCTTTAAATCACTCAGCACATCGTTTTCGAGTTATTTTAAAAGAGCCTGTCCCAAGAATCAGAGGTCTTTCCCATTCATTTGTGCTCCGTCTGTCTTGCGCTCTCTCTAGAGTGAATGTGTCCTGTATGTGTGTGTGTGCTGCTGCTGCCTCGCTAGTTCTAATGAACGCATCATCTATATGCTTTCACTCTAGTGATTGTAATGATCGATTGGTGTCACTCCAGAGAACTCGTCCACATTCCTAGTACTAGTAATATGTATTATATGTAGCTAGTGATATTTTGTAATGCTTAATCTGAAACAACCCAATAAATTCATTAAACATCTTAACTTTGGGGACTTGATTGGTGGTTATCCTAACTTATTATTTACAATGTTTTTTTAAGAAAATTCTTTTCAGGAAATTGAATACTTCTTAAATCTTGCCTTAAGGGGATAGTTCCCCTAAAAATTAAAATTCTGTCATCATTTACTCACCCTCAAATTGCTGTGGGGTGCAGTTGTCCAGCTGTAGGGCACCATTGACTTCCATATATGGAAATAAAATACTATGGAAGTCAACGGTGCCCCACAACTGTTTGGTTACCAAAATTATTCAAAATATCTTCCTTTGTGTTCAGCAGAACAAAGAAATTTATACAGGTTTGATACAACTTGAGGGTGAGTAAATGATGACAGAATTTTCATTTTTGGGTGAACAATTACGATGCAACAATTGGGTGACCTTTACGAACAATCTTAAAAAAAAAAATTTATCAGAGTTTTTGGGAATAAAAAAATAATTCTTAGCTTTTTTTCTTAAGTTAGAAAATAAGAAGAAAATAGCAGTTAAGAAGAATTTTATTCTTAAGAATATTTTGTGAATCTGGCCCCAAGTCTCTACATGGTTCACAACCTCCTTCAATATTAATCAGTAGATATTTTTATTTAATTTGTTTACAATTTTATATTCTGTAAGTCCAATCAATTAGTAAAAAAAAAAAAAACAGTGCAGAATGAGTTACTTGCCAAAAGATCATTCTTAAGGTTAGGATTTGTTCAAATCACTTACCCAATGTAGGAGCAACACTTATGTCCTCGTGAAAAAGAAGTAAACTAGCATATTTGTAAAAAGTACTTATTAGGAATGTACATACAAGTACATTTAAAAACTCTTTTTTTTTTTCATAATCTTAAGTAGAATTTTTAGTTTGGCATTATTACAAAGTGCACTTTTTTTAAAAGTGTACTCCAGTGTGTTAAGAAACTAGGGATGCACCGAATCCAGGATTCGGCCGAATATTGGGCTTTTTAACGGGGTTCGGTTTCTGCCGAACCTCAGAATTTTTTTCCACCGAACCGAACCGAACCCTAGGCTTGCACTACGCGCGCTACGTCGAAGTCACCGATCAGTGAATGACATCAAAATACCGCGTGAACGAATAGAGAGCAGACGGCTCCTTATGCTTTTGAATTGCTCTCGCGGGACTTTGATGTCATAAACTCATCTGTCTGTGCAGCGCCGGTTCAAGTCGAACAAGTAGTTATTGCAGAGGCCAGACAGACTCACGGAGGCGATTGGCATCTCACAACTCGCACTTTATTCCACAATCGAACTTGTGTAACTGTCTGTCACACGTTCTACCGTCCACAGCGTTACTTAACAAAATAAGGTAAAAATGAGCATCAAACAGAAATAACCCGCATACATGGGCATGTGTTCGAGGCGCACGACACATACGGCGCGCAGTTCTTAAAGGGGACACACCTTATTTCCACTCGCTACAGTAGGTGGACCGTTCGAATGCAGTAGGCTGTGAGAAAGTGAAAATGGAACTCGTGAGCAGAAAAAGTGTTGTTTGGCAGTACTTTCAGTGAAAGAAGGCAATTCAAGTCGAGCTACATGTTCAATTTGCAATGCCGATTTGTCTCATGGTGGCAAGGAGTCAAGGACTCTAAATAGGCTACACAACATCGCCGCTGTTAAAATGCATATAATGTTGCTTATTTTTTATTTTTTTTTATTTTTTTACAGTTATAAAAGTAAAAGTAGTGTTTATTATTTACAGTAATAAAATAAAATGAAAAATCCACTTTGTTTACTTCATTAATGTGTTTACTGTGTTAAAGGACTGAGGATGAGAGTAGGATTCGGTATTCGGTTTCGGATTCGGCAGAATCTTAACCAGTGGATTCGGTATTCGGCCGAACCCCACAAATCTGGATTCGGTCATGAAAGTTTAAGGTTAAATTCAAGTACGCTTAAGTGGCTGTTATTTCATTAATATTATCTAGTACGTTTAAAAAAAAAAGATTTAAGATTTAAGACTACAAGTGCACACAATACAATTAAACACACCTTTTTTCACAAGGGTGGTGATGCTTGCCTTAAGCAAACACCACTGAATCAACATATAAAACAAATTATTATTGTGATATCACATTACATTCCCCTGAACAGCACACACCATTTGTTGATTTGACAATATAAGACTAGAATATGATGCACAATTAGAATATGTTGCAAAGTGGACCAGACCTCATGCTGATAGTCGAAATTCTGGCTCTGTCTGACTACCAATTACTCTATATTCTGATGCAACCACAACAATGTGCTTCTACAAGTTGGAGGACAAAATAGCTGCATCATGAGTTCATACCGGCAGTTCCTTTTAGTGACTGACAGTAGAATTCTCATAATAAACAGTGATGGATGCACACTGCACACTTTGGGCCAGGAAAAACATGCCCTCAATGCAACGCTTTCAATTAAGTGAGAGAGCCAGTGAGAGACGCCATGACAGTCTATCCTTGCGTGATTCCCTCTCAGTCCCTTGGGGTCAATGCACATATTTTGTGTTCTCAGAAAGCAACCAGTAGTCTGAAAAAAAAAAAAGTTGTGTCTGAAGCAATCCCTTATTAGACTTGAGTGGACAGCTTCAGGTGCCATGTAAGTCTTTTTAGCTGAAACCCAAAACAGAGCACTGGGTCCAATCTCAGTCCTATAATTATGCAATCCTGCAGCGGATAGGATTTAAAATTGAATTTAGGATATAAAATGGCCACAAACACAGGAGGAGTGATACAAACAATGAAAAGTTCAAAACTTCATTCTAGCATAGCATATGACAGAAGCATGTGGCGCATTCTACTAATGATGCACTTTATTTTTTATGACCTCACTTGAATCATGAATCTAGAATCAAATGACATAAGGCTTAAAAGGCCTAGATATACCTGAAACGAAATCAAAGAATGACCTGGTGTGGCGTCATTTCAAACAAAATCGGGCCGACACGAAGCCTGCATCGGGAGTTCGAAACAGCTTGCCAAAAAGACATTTCTGGAAATGTTTGCTCCAGCTCGAACACCTTCAAACTACCATTGGCTCGTGGCGATTATGTAGGTGTGCGCTGAGGCTCTGCAATCTTCTCCAGTTAATTTCTTCTGTTCACGACATGAGTAAAAAACATGAAAATAATTGAGATCTGCTTTATTATAGAAATTGAATTTGTAATTCTAATTGAAAGTGACAATAAGTCTGTCTGTCTGTCTGTTCTTTCATGTTCAATACTGTAAAGCTGCTTGCTTTAAAGGGATACTCCACCGTTTTTCATATTAAACTATGTTATTCCCTTAACTAAGACGAGTTGATGCATACCTCTCTCATCTCAGTGCATGCACTAAATCGCTCTGTCTTGCGGCGAAACTTTGTTAGCACTTAGCTTAGCCCAGTTCAAGGATAACTTTAATGTATGGCGGAATACCACAGTAAGTGCTTGGGAGCACTTCGACTCGGCGCAGTAATATCATCACTTGTGAAAAATCCTCTCCCCCCCTCTCCCTCTCCGGAGTGATGATATTACTGCGCCGAGTCCATAGATATATAATTATATATGCACCGAGTTGAAGTGCTCCCAAGCACTTGCTATGGTATTCCGCCATATATTATAGTTATCCATTTTAGACGCTTAGAAAAGCGCAACGTTTTATTTTGTGTCACCATTCTTGGTCGAGTTACACTACTCATGCAACTGTATTTAAATAGGGAAAACGTGGAGGTGTTTGGTCGCTTCTCTGCTTGGATCCTAATAAATGAACTGGGCTAAGCTAAATAATAATAATAATAATAATAATTCATCACATTTATATAGCGCTTTTCTAGGCACTCAAAGCGCTTCACATAGAAGGGGGAATCTCCTCAACCACCACCAATGTGCAGCATCCACTTGGATGATGCGACGGCAGCCATATTGCGCCAGAACGCCCACCACACACCAGCTTACTGGTGGAGAGGAGACAGTGATGAAGCCAATTAGTGTATATATACATGGGGATGATTAGGAGGCCATGATGGACAGAGGCCACTGGGCAATTTTGGCCAGGATGCCGGGGTTACACCCCTACTCTTTCGAAAGACATCCTGGGATTTTTAATGACCACAGAGAGTCAGGACCTCGGTTTAACGTCTCATCCGAAGGACGGTGCTCTTTGACAGTATAGTGTCCCCGTCACTACACTGGGGCGTTAGGACCCACACAGACCACAGGGTGAGCGCCCCCTGCTGGCCTCACTAACACCTCTTCCAGCAGCAACCTGGTTTTCTCAGGAGGTCTCCCATCCAGGTACTGACCAGGCTCAGCCCTGCTTAGCTTCAGTGGGCAACCAGTCTTGGGCTACAGGGTGATATGGCTGCTGGTAAATGGCTGCTAAAGTTTCGCCGCAAGACAGAGCGATTTAGTGCACGCACTGAGACGAGAGAGGTATGTATCAACTCGTCCTAGTTAAAGGAGCTGTATGTAAGAAATGTATTTCAATTAATCATAAAATGGCCCTGAAATGTCACTAGACATTAAGAAATCATGTTCATTTCAAATACTTATATCACTGACAACAGTAGTCTGGCCAGGATATTGTCATTTAAAAAGTGCAGTTGCAGCCCTCAACTGATGTTGATGTTGTCATGTTGTGTTTTGGTCTGATGCTCCACCCTCCACCTATCTACCAATCACGAAGTCAGTAGTGTTGCGGCATCCGGGTTGCCAGCTCTGCTCAGTTACCACAGCTGCAGCTCGTCACGTTCCTGCTGGATCCTGCAGCCGATCTGGCAACCTCGAGTCAGGGGGGAGGGGGAGGGGATAAACCACTCTACAGTAATTTGACAGTGATTGCAGTACTAGTTTTGGCCACAATCTTACATACAGCTCCTTTAAGGGAATAACGGTGGAGTATCCCTTTAAAGCAATCTATTGTATAAGTAATGGATAATCAATGGCTATCTGTGCATTAAACCATTGTAATGCACGACGTGGAGTCGGAGAACCACCCAATGCGAAGCGGAGTACATTTAAACAGTTTAATACACAGCTAGCCGTAAATAAACCCGCTTATACCATGGTCGTTTGTTATTGATGTTTGCAGCGCAATATTTGACCGGAAGGGTAAAAATGAGTTATTTTTGTCAGTTACGGCCTGTTAAATGTAGCATACTGCCTCTTTAAATTAGACACAGAGATAAACTAGTGCAGTAAGATTACATTTATTTGAAAGCATTTATATGAATAAATTATCGAGTGAGAGAGAGAGAGAGAGATGAGATGCGCGTCTGTGTCTGTGCAGAGTTTCTCTCTACTAACAATAATGATGCGAGTTTAATTACTTCAAAAACAGCGACGTTACCCCCTCCTTGCTGAGAAATATAACGTAGCGATACACTAGCGAATTTTATTAATAAAAGTTACGGGGCAGCGGTGATAAGTTTCTGTGCTCTTTCATGAATATTTGTGTGTGTGAGCTGCGCAATTTCTGTGTGCGAGTGATGTGTGCGCTTCAATGAAAGGAGTGCATTAACAGTGATTAAACTGACTGGAACTACCCGTGTATTAAATAGTTTTGTTGCACACCTTCCATCCAATCAGAATCGAATATTCAGACAGACCATGGTAATATGCATAAACATGACGCGACTGGAGTGCCGAATTGCAGAGCTGATGCAAACATATCCACATTAATATGATCAGATGCTTTCTTAACTAATATTTTCTAACCACAGACATTTTGTTGCGATTTCATCTAAGCATCTGGGCGACGTTGGGATGTTCATTAATAGTATATCGCTGCTCACGTATTTAAAACTTCTTTTTACCCCTAAGCGAAGACCGAAAAAGAACTTCACCATGAGTATATCAGGGCTTTTAGACCTCATATCCTCACATCTGTTGACACAGTCAGTAATAATAAGTCTCGGTAAGATTTTTCAAAAGTCTTTTATGCTCACCAAGGCTGCATTTATTCGATCAAAATACAGTACAAAAAGTAATATGGTGAAATGTAAATATTTTACCACTTAAAATAGCTGTGTTCTATTTAAATATATATTAAGATATAATTTATCCCTGTGGTGGCAAAGCTGAATTTTCAGCATCATTACTCCAGTCCTCTTACATGATCCTTCAGAGAAATATGTTAAATTTGCTGCTCAAGAAACATTTCTTATTATCATTATTGTTGAAAATAGTTTTTTTTGTGTGCAAACTGTGATTTTTATTTTTTAGGATTATTTGATGAATAGAAAGTTCAAAAGAACAGCATTTATTTGAAATAAATCTTCTGTAACACTATAAGACATTTGTAACAGTCTTTACTGTCACTTTTGATCAATTTAATGCGTCCTTGCTGAATAAAAGTATTACTTAATAAAAAAAAAAAGCCCAAACTTTTGAAAGGTAGTGTACTTACATTTTGTAGCCTGGCGTGTAGCTAACTACATTTTAAAAAGGATAACTTGTCATAACTTGAGTCTAGTCAGATATAATAATAATGTGTAGCTTCACTAGCTTGTAATTTGGCAAACTACAGTGTAAATGTTAAAGTGTCCTAATCAGGACAACAGCAATTTGAAAACCTATTTGTAAAGTTGCACAAAAGAAACAAAAGATTTTCAAATATACAAATCTGATCAAAGCACTAACACACCCGCAAACCTATATTTGAAAGCAACAGTGTGAATGTGCACAGCTCTATTAATCTCACCTGACGTGTTTGCCATGAATGAGTGACAGTAGGCAGAGATTCACCATATTCCACGAGGTGCTGTTGTCATAGTGCATCAAGTTCAGTGCCATGGCAACATGTGAGTGACAATTGTCACAACAAAGGTTGTGCTGGAGGGAAAGCAGAGATAAATGTCAGGATATAAACAGCAGTTTTTCTGAATGGATGCTCAAAGAATTGTCCACCCCCACCACCCATATGGACAGTTACTGTTTTGGATTTTCTGACTGTTCATAACTGTACATGTGGATATACACTTTTAATGCGAAATAGGGAGGAAACACATATTACCATTCTCTGTTTATACTCTTCTGATGCATTGTGAACTGCTGTGTCCCAGGCGTTAGATCCACTACTGGCATGCACTTTACTTACATCTAACATCCAGTACCTGGGAATAAAGCAGATAAATACTGCTGCAAATACATGGCCAGTATGTATCATGAAGCACATGTATCAGGAAAAGCCTAACCCCACAATGCAGTTGAACAAGCCAAGTCATTTCTTTTATAACCACTTTTGGAGGACCTTAAAAGTGATGTGTAATTTCTTGGATTCATAAATACTTTCTTGTTTTCCAACTTAATATACAGAGATAACTAGTAGTAAGCCATTCATAGGTTGATTCCCAACAAAAAAGTAATGTTTTGTGTATGCTGACCAACTCAACACAGCAACATTGACTCACTTTGTTGGTCTTCCAAACGCCATGTTGTCTTCCTGCAAGAGCAGCAAAATAGACTGTTAAACTCTGTATGTGTGTACAATGTGACAACTAACAACAACAAAACCCAAAGGCCTAGGTGTGCGTAAAACAAACAAACAAAACCCCCCCCCAAAAAACATACCATATGTATGGAAGCTTGTTTCCACCATGGATTAAAAAAAAGAAAAAAAAGTTAACGACTTTTTATCTAAAAATTGTGAGTTTATATCTCAAAATTCTGACTTTTTTTCTTAAGAATTGTGAGACATGGGCTCATCATTACAAAAAAAGTATGAATTATGAAATATAACTCGGAATTGCAAGAAATACAAGTCAGTATTGCAAGATATGAAATTTAGAATTGCAAGAAATGAATGGGGAATCGCAAGAATTAAAAGTCAGAATTGCGAGAAATGAACACGGAATCGAAAGAAATAAAAGTCAGAAATGCAAAATATGAACTCGGAATTGCAATAACTAAAAGTCAGAATTGCGAGAAAATAACTCTGAATTGCAAAAGAAATAAAAGCCAGAATTGCGAGAAAATAACTCTGAATTGCAAAAGAAATAAAAGCCAGAATTGCGAGAAATTATCTTGGAATCACAAAACGAAATAAAAGTCAGAATTGGGAGAAATTAACTCGGAATAGCAAAATAAATAAAAGTCAGAAATGCAAGATATAAACTTGGATTTGCAAGAAAAAAAGTCAAAACTACGAGAAAAAACCTTGGAAATCGCAAAATAAATAAAAGTGAGATTTGCGAGAAATTATCTCGGAATTACAAGAAATAAAATTGTGAGATAAAAAAGTTGCAATTACATTTAATTGCGAGTTTATATCTCACAATTCTGGTTTTCCTTGCAAATTTAAGTGTATATCAAACAATTCTGATAAAGAATGTCTGAATTGCAATGTATAAACGCAATTTTGAGAAAAAAAAATCAACACATCAACAAACAAAACAAACATAAATAAAAATAAGTATACAAAATATACTGATCAATGAATCCAATTGTAAATAAACATCAAATAAACTATATATACACTACCGTTCAAAAGTTTGGGGTCAGTGAGAATTTTATTTTTTGGAGGAAAGAAATCAATACTTTTATTTATCAAGGAATAATTAATTTGATCGAAAGTGACAGTAAAGACATTTATAATGTTACAAAAGTCTTTTGAACTTCCTATTCATCAAAGAATCCTAAAAAAAACAAAACAAAAAAAAACTGTACAACTGACAGACCAACAACTGTTTCAACATTGATAATAATAATAAATGTTTCTTGAGCATCAAATCCTCATATTATACTGATTTGTGAAGGATCATTTGACACTGAAGACACTGACACTTGGTGATGCTGAAAACTCAGCTTTGATCACAGGAATAAATTACACTTTACTATATATTCACACAGAAAACAGCTGATTTACACTGGAATAATATTTAATACTATAACTGATTTTTGTTGTATTTTTAATCAAATAAGCGCAGCCATGGTTAGCAGAAGAGAATTCTTTTAAAAGTATTTAAAATCGTAGCGACCCCAAACTTTTGAACGGTATATATATATATAAAATCAGATATAAAGAGTGATAGTGAATTGTGAGATAAAAAGTCACAATTACCTTATTTTTTTATTCTGTGACAGAAACAAATTTCCATACATATCCCTCTTTCCGGATATATATAATTGCGAATTCACACTTCACCCTGTGGGATCCAGTATTCCAGTGAGATTTATATTACCTGGAGCTATCCGTTAGCATGCCACTCAACTCAAGTATGTTTATTGAAATCAGCCATCTTTGCTCATGGCAGCTCAATTCTCTGCCAGGCCATGTGACTAATGACTGCAGAGCTGCAGCTGACATCATGATGACAGCACTAATTGGCTGACAGCACCACAAGACCAATGGCAACAAAAGCCCCTTCAATAGCAACTGTAACAAAGTCTATTTCAGCCCATTCAAATCTATTACACGCTTTAAACAGCACTACACAATACAACAGCATCTAAAGTAACATATAATGAAATATTAGTGTTTTTATTTATTGCTTTATCAAAGTTCATTGGACTTTATATATATTTTTATTTTATTTTAATACAATATTATTTTGTCTTACTGCACTGGATGATTTTTGCTCTTGTTTATACTTAAAACAAGTACAAATTCTTTAAATCCAGTATAGAAAGACAAAATTAAATTTAAGATGCATACAGTATAGATAAGATTCTATGAAAATAATAATAATCTTAATATATAAGGCAGTGTTCCTTCTCAAGCATATTTATCTAGTATTAAGTATATTCAAAGTGCCCCTATTATGCTTTTTCGAATTTAACCATTCATGTAGTGTGTAATATAGCCGTTTGTGAATGTAAAATGTCTGCAAAGTTTTAAAGACCAAAGTGCACGACAAATAAAGATATTCATTGCGTCCAAATTTGCATACCGAGTAGGTACTACATTTGAATTTATTTTGGGACAGTTTAAAAAGTATGCTCTGTATAGTATGAATATGGGTAGAAAATGAAATTTGGACATACTAAATCCGCCGTGTTGTTTCTGTCAAGTGACCTACCAGCGCCAGTTGCGTCGCTTCACTTCCCTCCATAAATCCCCTCCTGTGGCCTTATGGGATAATAAAGTGTCCATTGTTTGAGCACTTCAGAATCTCGGCGGAGGTCATCCGGGGATTTTTCAAATACTATGTATTCAGACATACTACTCTTTTTTGCGTACTGTTTTTCGAATACTATATAGTAAGGATGTATTCGATTTTGGATGCAGCAATTGTCTCTGAACTGCCGAAACAAGTCGTCAGTAATTCCAGTCTTATTTGTTGTGGCTTTGCATGCGCTTCCAAAGGATGAATACTTGCGCTCGAATTGATACGGTAAAACCAACTCCATCGTTACTGTACGTATCACTGTGTATACAAATGCTGAAGAAGCCTCTGGAACTGAAATTCAGATATGGTAATGGGTGTTTCGTTTCCGACACTCGATGTAAGCGGTAGACCAATCACAACAGACTGAGACATCTGACCAATCAGAGCAGAGTAGGATCTCGGAAAAGAAGGAACTGGAAAGTCAAACTTACTTCAAATCAGCATGAATTTAAAATCCACCGTATTTTCTAAATGCATATAGATCTTATTGTGAATGATTCATCCATGTATACGTTTCTTTTTTTAAATCTTAAAAAAAAAAAAATGTTGGTAACCAAACAGTTTTGGTGATCATTGGCTTACATTGTATAGACAAAAAACAATGGAACAAGATATCTACTATGCTTCACTGAAGAAAAAAGTCATATAGGTTTGAAACGACATGGAGATAAATACATTTTGACATTTTGAGTGAACCATCCTATTTTAGATTTTTTTTGCAGTGTACAGACTTGGTACGCTCTTTTGATATAGATCAGTAAGCACTGCTTAACAACACCCTAAAAACCAAATAGCAATGTGGTAAAAGACACAAGCAACAACAAAGCAATGTCTTAGCAACGACCTAAAACACCTAACTGTGGCAACAGATTTTGCATGTGCAAGCGTCATATACATAATCTTCTGAAACGTAATAATCAGTTTAGGAATTTCTAAAACTCTTGTGAACTCACTGTGAACTAAGCTCAACCCACTTCTCCCGCTCATTCCACATGCGAGACGTGTTTTAGTCCCTGTCAGCCACAAGCGGAGTTAAGTGCAGCAGATTGTAGTGCACTTCAGTGTGTGCTGGCCCGTATCACCGCAGGTCAAATAACCACATCCTCTCATGTTACCGGCCTTGCTCTACCCAAGACATTTCACTTTTGCTCCTTTCTGACAGAGATCTGCTTAAAGGATAAATGTCCAAACCTGAAGAGAACTGCTTTTGTACTATGATAAATTTAACTTTTGTTTGAACAGCTAGTTCAAATTAGTTCAGGATTCTTATGAACAAGCGGTTGGATCTCTTTTGTGGTTCCATTTAATACTAAGTGCATTATGAGATAGAGTTGCCCTGACTGTGAACTCTAAGATGCTATCATGTATTTTTTTAACAAGAAGAATCCAGAACTCTGGAAGCGGCCGAGAACATTGCAATTATCAGGACAGAAAGCCCACGGAGCAGAAGGATGGAGGTGTAGCTTTCACCACATGTCCTATTACAGACAGGATTCCTCCTCTGCTCTGCGCCTTTTTTTGCACAGGTATAGATTTTTCTGTTGGAAATAACAGGATGTGCTTGTACAGGGCCACTGAGGAAGCTGGTGGCAAATATTGAACTTTCCAGTGATTTCAAGTGGAAGCTAAAACGATCCACTTATGGGAATTTTGCAGCAAATGATAGAGACCTTTATCTAGAGGAACATTCTTCGCTGAAACCAGGAACAAACTTTATAAGGCCTTTATATGTCAACAAAAGGTTCTTTGACATTGTTGAGGTCAGACAGGAGCAAAGTCTACACAGTCTACACAGGTCATTTATAATACAGCAGTAACAAGCCTCCAAGGGCTTCGAACAAGCTCGCCAGACTGAAAGAGATCCAAACCATCTAGTGAGAGATTTAAACCTGCACAACTTGGAAATTTTCCCAATTTTATACTCAATTTATGCAATCTGGCAACCGTGGGCATGCGTTCTCTCTCCACTTGTGAAAAGGTGATGGCAAACATGTTCATTGAAGCTCAAAGAAATGCAGGTGTTTTCCTGCAGAACTTCTCAATTTAACGGCATACTCTTTTTGCAAATACTTTAAATTAAATTTGACCATGATGACTACTGTCACAACAATCAGTGTTCATTGAGGAAGCGTTAATCATTCAGGGTTGCCAGGTCTGTACAACAAAACCCAAGTGCTAATAAAAAATAGCCCAATCATGGCCAAACCAATCCCAATCGCGATCCGGAGGACTTAGATGGATGAAAATGAGAGAATATTTTGTAAAAAATTTAAATTAAAAAAAGTTGGTGACAAAATTGCGATTTTGGGGTGAACTATCCCTTTAAAACCCAATATACAAAGAGTGCATAAAGAGCGATACAAAACAGTAAACAAAGCAGCATATCCTTCTCCATCGTTTTTTCTAAACTTTGCATGAAATGGAAGATCCGCTACTTTTCTTCTTCTATCCCTTCGAGCGAATATCCTATAAATAACACGACTCTGCTGCCCTCTGATGTCTGGTAGACTATAAAAAGCAATTGTACTGCGCATGTGTCGAACACGTCTAACCGTTGTTGAGTATACTATGAAAGCTGTCCAGACAAGACGGAACGAAGCAGAACCCGGAAAATTTATACTTGGGCCTTAAGAATGTGCATCTAAAAAGCTTACAACAGACAAACAACAAACAATATTTTTATCTTTCTAATGTTACCCGATAAAATATGTATTACGGAAGTAAACGAAAAATTCATTTTATTGGGACTATTTTAATGTGTTTTAATTTTTCGAGAGGCTTGAACAAAAAAGTCATACAGACAGACCTTAGATCATGTTATTATATCTATGGTCCTGCACTTATTCCTGTTAATTGGAAAATATAATTGGCATTGTGCGCTTTCTCTGAAACAGGTGATGTGCAACTTGTATTTAAAATATCCAATCATGCACTTTCTCATGTATTCTTGGACAGACAAACCGTGCATGTAAACATACTTACTGAGACAAAGTATGGACCTGCAAAATCACGGATCACTCCAGTGGAAGTGCAGATGCCCATATGGCCAATGAATGGAAAAAGCCATCTGAAAGGGTAAAACAAACAATGGGATAAATGAAAGCAATGAAAACACGTTACATTCTGTTTTATTGGAAAAACATTTGTTTTTGCCCCACAGGAAGATTTATTTGCATTTTAATATTTTTTTATAACTATATTATTTTTGTTTTTAATTTTTATATTTAATTTTAATATTTATATTTTATTTAATTTTGGTTATAAATATAACTTTTAGGAGTACACTACCATATAGAGACCATAAGACGGACTAAGGGTCCGCTTATACACAACAATGTTTTCAACTGTAAAAACGGAGATCCTTTTATGGGTTTTGGCCGTTCATTCACACGACGGCGTTTTCGGGGCCTGAAAACAAACTTTTTAAAACGGGTTTCAAAGTGCAAGTTTTGGAAAACGATACCAATGTAGGCGCATAGTGTTACTTACTTTACACAGTGACATCGCCATCTGCTGGCTTGCCATGCATATCACAGTGTTTTTAGTAGTTTTGGCAGATTCGTATGAACGGGGATAGTTTTGACGTTGTCATCTGTACAGAGCAGGTTACTATTTGTATGAAACACTCAGCTTTCAAATTTTGTAAGAAATTCAATCAATAAATACAGTTTTGTGGCTCTTTAATGTGTCGTGAGTGACAGAGAAAAAAAAACATAAACGAACATCAGAAGGTATGTTTTTTCAACCACGGAAAGATGTCAATACACATTTTTCAAGTTCAAGTTCACTCTCCTGTCTGGTTTGTTTGTTGGACAAAATGGCAGATTCTGAGTTATTATTGGTCAGATCGCCTGTCAATCAAACGAATGGTGAATTTCATGGGGTCTAATAAAATAAAATAATGAAAAATGAACAAAAAAAACCCCTAAAAACTAAAATTCTTGCATCGCACATTTTTTGCAGTGTCTCTGATGACTGCTGTTCTTTCTGTTATTTCTTTCTTCTCATTTAATAATATAATAAGGTTAAGAATTTAAATTAAGTGGGACAAATCTAGACTTAAGGTCTGTGGTTAACAAGCTCAATATATTTTCACATTTTATTTTTAAACATAAAAAACATCAATAATACCCCCATGTCATTTTTTTAAGCTGCTCCTGATGTCAGGGACATTAAACGTTGGCATGACGCAAAATAAACCCCTTCGGGGTGCTACAAGACTTGCATGGCAAATAAAAATAAAATAAAAAAAGGATATTGCCTAAAAAACCCCTGAAATTGTTCACAAGGGGTGGAATTACACATACACTTGTGTGTGTGTTTTGGGAAGACAGCTAAGTGAGTGCAAGGCGTGATATGCTGGAGAGTTCCCTTTTCAATATCATACACCTGGCCAAAATCCAGCTTTCCCTGGACAAAGGAAGCGGATTTGACACTAGACCAAAATTCCTATCAAAGTAATTAAAAAAAGGTATTATCAACAGAGCTCTCAGGGGTGTAATATGAATAACAGTATGAATATCCTGGATAAAACAGCCCCGGTGGAGTTTCTGAAGTGGAGTAGGGCATACGCCGGCACCCCAAATACGGTCCTGTCCATGTGCATATTTATCACAGAGTGTCCTACAGAGCAAGCTGCTGACCCAAATACAGGATACAAACAAAACATGAGGCAAGGAACTCTCACACCGAGATAATCTGCAGTGGAAGACACCAGGGGACAGGTCTAAGATCAGCTGTAATCAGTCTAATCTCAGCAAATGTGATTATTAGAAGGAGTTTGATGGGCCTCCTGTTGATGTTAGTGAACTTAAGTTCCATCCAGACCGATGCATCAAAGATTCAGCAAAGGTATCGTCTTTGCAACTAATGGTCATAAATTATAATGCATGTTATCGAATTACTGTGATATGCATTACAAAATGGTGTCCAATCACTTTAAAATAATATGAACCATTTGAAACAAACAAAAAAAGTATTGAAAGACACCATGGTACTGCACTTATCAAGGTATTACTATGGTATTCTTTAAAATACCCAGGTGTAAATACCACAATACTTCAATATGGTAATCCTACAACGCCATATTATCTAAAAGGCATGGTATGACCATCTTATACATCACTCTACCATGGTATTTCTACTCTGTTTTTCTGTACAGAGAAGAGAAAACACTGTAATCACTTTATTATCTGACAAACAAAAGACAGAAACTGACCAAAAGTGTAAAATCTCGTTTGATTTTACAAAAAAAAAAAAAAGAGTCAGAATAGGCTTTATGCCCAGCTGCACTACTTCCTGAACTTCAGCCAGCTCCTTGTTTCCTGTCTGACATTATTGGACAAACTGATTAATCCAGGTGTGCCTGACCAGAAACAAATACCAGACACACCTGGGTTAATCAGTTTGTCCAATAATGTCAGACAGGAAACAAGGAGCTGGCTGAAGTTCAGGAAGTAGTGCAACTGGGCATAAAGCCTATTGCGAGTTTATATCTCTTTATAACTTGCAATTGCGAGTTTATGCCTCACAATTCTGAGAAATAAAGTCAACTCGAAATCGCGGGTTATAAAGAGATATAAGCATGCAGTTGTGAGAAAAAAAAGAGTCAGAATTAGGAGATAGAAAGTGTTTTATTCTGTGGCGGAAACAAGCTTCCATACTTAATGGTTATAGTGATGGAAAGAACTACAATCCCATGAGCATGAAGCATTGCGAACAGCAAAATCAAAATATAAAAGATGGAGAAATATAAAAATACCAAGTTAAAATTTTTTATGTATATATATTCAAATATTTAAGCATTTTGAGAGCGGGAGACTGACTCGATTACATTATTTGCAGTGTTTTAGGTGAGTGAGCGGAGCTAAAGAGATCTTTTGGCACGTTTTGTTTGTTTCAACTGTTTCGATTAGGGGCATTTTCTGTACAGCATCATGGGTAATGTAGTTTTAAACCAATAAAAACATTGTCAGCCAATCAGCCCCCGACTTGGAAAAGCTCAAGCATTTAAAGTGACAGACTACATAACTGCAGCGCATACTTATAATAAACAGTATGCTATTGTGCATTGTGGTGGTGTGGATGGTAATATAATTTTCGTTATTTATCATACATGGTGTGAACCAACCCTAACCTTCACAAACTTTTTATGATTACTGGATCAGGATTTAGGATAGGGATAGAGTTTGCATGCACAAAGAGCAATTTTTAGCCAATTAAATATTTACTGAAATTTCCATGAGTTTTAGGGATTTTTGAAATTTCCATTCCTTTTGCAGGCTTGTAAATCTCAATGTAAACATGTCCTCTTATTTTCAGGTGTTCCATGACAATGGGAACCCTGGTACATTCAAAAAGTCAGATTAAATGTGCATACAGCAGGTTTGTTAAATAGAGTGCTGCAAACTACTCTAACTCAAAACTTTCAGAGTTTTTTTTTAATAAAGATTGAAAGAGTTGATGGAAGCTTAATGGTGGTGACGTTTAAGTCTACAACTGTGGTGTAGTGTGTTTAGCTTTTTACTTCTGCAGATTGTTTTATTCATAAAAGTTGTGTTCATTTGATTATTGATTTGATCATTAGCTTATTATAATTAACAAAACAAAAATTATGAATCATAAACTTTTGTTGGTCAGAGAACCAATTTTGAGACGTTTCATTTAGCTAACTGAAAATTCTATTTTTGACCTTCAAACTCCATACTTTTATTACAAACACATACTATTTTAGCAAATAACAATCAAAAAGTTCTGTCTGTTTCTCACACAATGCTATATTCAGAATAGAATATAAAGCGAGTTGTATGGACTACTTTTTGTCATTTTTGGAGCAGCTCCAGTCTCCATCCACTCACAATAGCGCCAGCCAGTCCCCATCCACTCTTATTGTTTCAAATTCAAAGAGTGTGATCATTCTTATAAATACTTCCAAAAACATGTGCTCGGTGTTCGAATTTGAATTTTGTGTTTCGGGAAAGAATTGCATGTTTGGAGCAACATTTTTATTTAATTCTAGGAACTAGGCTACTCCTTTAAACACACGAGCAGGTTTTTCTTGTCAGGAAAACTAGTTCAAATGGCAAATCAGTTAATGTTTAACAACACACGATTTACACTGCTGTCAACGCTCCGCGACGCAACAGAACGCTGCCATATCAACAGATCGGTCCACAGCGCAATTGCTCAATGACGCTTGCTGGTGTAATGTTTGGTTTGTAATGCATCCATTATAAACACAAACCTCTTTTATCCGGGACTGAATCGCTTTCAAAACATTAACATGAAGCAAAAGCAACAGTGGAGGCGAAAATCACTCACGATAACACGGGGATTGGCGTCCATACAATACAGTAGGGATAGCGGCTTATGCTCGGGTCTATCCTCTCAAACGCTATGTTATAATTCTTCATGGTCTCTATTTCGACAGCATCCGCCATCACCAGCTGTGAGAAATGAACTTCATTCGTTCCGCTTCCTGGAAGCTGCAGCGCGCTGGCGACACGCGCGGCGCGTTTCCGGGGTCCCTTCGGCCACTGCAGACCACACACTTTATCTATGGTAAATATCAAGTAAAACACTTTAAGTAGCCTACTATTAGTAGTAGGCTACTAACCATTATGTGAGGACCTATTTGACAAGAATATACAGATATATGAGTAAAATAAGTAATTTAACAAAGTGTGGCTGAGGATCTGATCTTAGAAGATAATGAAACATTAAAACTGTTGGCAAATTATGAACTATAAATAAAAATGTATACGATTTTTTAATCGCTTTCTTCTTTATATATAGGCTAAGCTGTAAAAAAATATTTTCATTATTTGTTATCACAACTTTTTATCTTTTGTCAAAATCAGCTTAGATAATTATTGTGGTTCAGATAACATAATATTGAGTTTCTATTTAATAAACCAATCTCCTTTGTTGTATCAACTTAAATTTTTTAATTTCAATGAACTCAAAAGGCAACCAGGTAACTTAGCTACTTTTTAAAAAAGTTAAACCAACAATATTTTTTTTAAACAAATTTGGTTTTTTTCAGAGTTGGTTTGTTTGCACTTCATTTTGTGAATGAATCTTCCATACATAATAAAAAAAATCACCATGTGACACTAATTCAACACTAATTGTGTTATCTTGTTATGAATTCACTTTAATATCAATATGATGATGATGAGAGAAGCTCAATTCTAACAGCCCTGAACACATTTTACTGTGTGGAAAATGTTTGATTACTAGAATATATATACATGAATATTTAAACAATGCAATTCAATATAGCCCACTTAAACTTTAGCATTTGCAGTATCTGATCCTTTTGTAAGTTATAGATCAATTAACCTCAAGTTTTCCCTCAGTGCTGTATATTGATTTCATTGTAAGAGGATCCATCTGTACTCAGGCTAGAGGAGGAGAGAGGCTCATGGGAATGCTCTGCAGCCATATGTCCTCCTCACTGGCCCCCATTAGACCTGACAGGTGATATATGGTGCGCATGGCAAAAACAAACTACTCAGCAAAAGCCAGCGTACAATGATAAATGAAGGCATGGTGACACAGATACTGTATAGGCTCATTATGGCCGAGCTAAGGGAGTTCTCCTGCAAAATGCCACTTCAATTTCTGCCCACATCCCACCCAATTAGGCTAGAAGATGCAGGTATAGTGTCTACACACATCAGCTTCATAAAGTCCACTTACAAGATGACAATTTTTCCCTTCGAGATTATTCCTTTCCAAGGTCATTTATGCAATTGCAATTATCTCCAAATATTTGCCTTTGCCTCCTGGAGTGTTTGAATGTCACAAAACCATGTCCAGGTCACATTTTATACCTAGAATGAATGAATGAATGAATGAATTAATTAATTAATTAATTAATTAAGGAATTTGTAATTACCATTATTCAAGATTCTTATTACTTCAAAATAAAAATACTAAAGTAAAATGAATGAATGAACAAATGAATGAATGAATTTGTAATTTGAACCCCTTAACTGTCACCTGCCCGTATACGGGCAACCTAAATTTACTTCACTATATTACTATTAAATCCTAATCTAGTAATGACAAACTATATATCGTTGGAAAGGTCTAAGACTCCTTAATAGATATTTTAGCGCTGTTTTTTTCTTACAAATTATGTATGAACAGTCATATATGAATTTATGACAAGAGTGCGCCTCAAAAAATCGACGTCATTACAGGAGTTTCTGACCTTTGTCACAAAAAGTTGACGCACACACTTTTAATAATTGAAACTTTGGTTTTTAATGCTAAAAGTTCATAATAAAACATAATATAGTATTTGTCAATAAAAAAAGATAAAATTATATTTTAAAAAGTCCTCTAAAAAGTATAATATATATTATATACTGTATATATAAATAATTTTTTTTTATTATTATATCACATATTTTAGTAGTTATCATAAATTAGGTATCATTTGAAAGCTTACGAACTCAGAATTCATCCTGTGAAAACCGTTTTGAAATTGGACGTTGCGTTACCATAGAAACGGTATTTTTTTTATTAGGCCCCTCCCCTTTTGGGCATCATCTTTCATAATCTATTATCAAAAATGTTCTAATCTTGACAAAACACATATTGTCAGAAAGGTCTCAAGGTTCCATATTTAGTGACAGAAGTGATATTTGGATAGAAATGTATTAATTTGTTATGGCAGAATGCATACAATTAAATTCAATGGAATTCAATGGCACCCGGTGGGTATTTTTGGTATTACGCCTAAACAAAATCTCATGGGAACTTCAATGTTTGTGATAACAACTTCGAATTTGGAACACAACTTGGTTAGATATATGGCTTTGACTTTCTGTCATTTTTAGGCTGAAACCTATATTCTTTTATATGTATTTTTAATAAAAGAAAAATATATATTTTATTATATTTTCATAACAATAAACTTAAACTTCAATAACTTTTAAATAATTTAATTCTATTAATTTATTCCACTTCAGCAATAATCTGCCAAGAGTATTCTATTAAAAGAGACCAACCGTAAGTCTTTAGTACAAAGGCTTCATGAATTACAACCGTTTAAGTTTGGGTAGTGCATTTTCACGTCAACGCTCAAAAAGGGGGGTGACAGCTAAAAGATCCTTATTACTATAATGTGTATAAGTTATTATTATGATTACTATTATTATTATTGTATATCTTTTCTGTTGTTACACTCTTTGCTTAAAAAAAAATGCAAAGTAAAAATAATAAAGTAAAACGAAAGAATGAATGAAATTGCAATTTGATTCTTAAAAGATTTTTTATTACTGTATAATGCAAAAAAAAATATACAAAAGTAAAATGAATGAATGAATGAATGAATGAATTAGTAATTCGATTCTTAAAAGATTTTTATTACTGTATAATGCAAAATAAAAAATACTAAAGTGTAACAATTTAAAAAAAATTGCAGTAAGGCAGAACAAGAAATACTACCAGGATAATAATTTAATGATTTTTCTGTATTATAATTAGAATGAGATTTTATTTTTTTGCATTAGGTCAATGAGACATTATTATTATTATTATTATTATATTTAACATTAATAATGAAAAAAATAAATAAGTTTACACTTTATTTTAAGGTGATGTATTACATTGTATTTACTCAAATAACTACTAAGTAATATTAATAACTACATGGACTTACTAGTTACGGTTAGGGTTTGGTTTAGAGTTAGTTACTTGTAATTATGCATAATTTACTATTATTACTATAGTAAGTACATGTAGTAATGATTAACAAAGTACGCCACCTTCGTAATAGTCCATATAAGGCTTTATTTTCTTTAAGCAAAATATATATTTTTATTTTATTTATTTTTTTGGAGCCAAATAACCCAGACATGGACTTTGCTAGTTTTGTGAGATAATTTTTCACCTGAGCAATCAACGTTAATTGGCATATATATTGTTTTATGTTTTTATACAAAAAAATTTTTGTCAAAAAATTCAAAAGAAATTCTCATATTATTATAGATTTTGTAGTATTTTTGTCATGCTGAAAATAAAGTTGAGAATAATTGCAAAAATAGGATCATTCTGTTTCATGTGATGACCTGTCCGGCAGAACGAGTCCCTGGAGCTGCTGCTGCCCTTTGCTTTGAGTGATTTGCTACATAGCATTTGCTCCTTGGTGGGCGACACACAGATATCTCAAGGGGAACATCCATATTTCTATGGCTTAAAATAATAAGCTTCAGCTCCAAAAGTATGACATCTCGACCATATGTAACAGAGGTTAATTTAGTCTCCCTGCTGGCTGTGGAGCAATGCTGTTTCACACTGATGTCTGTAATGAGCGGGTGATCTATTATAATTACATTCCTTCAGTGAGAAACAACGATAAACATCATCAATGAAGTCTTTTGAGAAGTGGAAGGACATATTTATAAGAAAACGTCAGCACATTATCAGTGTAGCCTAATGAGGGCTCATTCTTACATGAAATTAATTTAACCAGGCTGTTAGTTTTTAGTTTAGCAGTTTATTGGTGTATAATATTATTTACTAAAGTAATGCGACAATTACAAGGCAATTATTACATTTATTTTAACTTTTCATTTATATACTGGATTGTAGTAATGATTGTTGTTTTATACCATTTTGTTGCCTATGTATACATATCACACACACAATCACACTCACACACACACACACACTCGTCGTGAGTACACTTGTTGTGCTTGTTGTTGCTTCTATACACTGGAAGCTTCTATCACCAAGACAAATTCATTGCGTATAAACATAGTACTTGGCAATAATTCATAATCATCCTGATTTTGAAGGCTACTGTTTTATTGCAATTTCATACTATTATGGTGTCATTTGCTTAATCTCGTGACCTTTAAATTATTATAAATAATGTTTACCCTCTCGGTAAAAAAAAGAAAAAGTCAACATTTAAAAATGAATTGATCAGCATGATATACAGCACCTCGTTGTACTTATGATCAGGTTTTATAAGAGAATGGCGACCTCTAGTGGACCTCACCTTTTTTTTTTTTTTTTTTTTACAATCGCTAGGACACATTTCCCAGTAGCACCTCATTGCAGTACACGAGATCCAGGGGGCGGAGTTGGATCCAGATCCAGATACTTTCAAAACTCTTCACTCAGTTCTCCGTATATCAACTTTCAGCTCGGCTCAGCAGTAAATTTCACATCCAAACCGCGCTAAAACTACCAAAACACTTCATGCAGGTCTCTAATCAAGTCATTCTTCCCTAACACTAACAAAAGTTGTCACCCAAACACCCTTTTCACCCATAAAACACTTACAGGAAAAAATAAAAAATAACAGGTCAAACAGGAAACATTAGGCCTACACATTTTTTTTCTTTCGCAAGATGTCTTTACAAAACAAGAATGACAGAATTCACTGCATGGTCCATGTTTACATTACAGTAGCCTCACCTGTGTAGGATTTCAGCTACATCTAATTGTTTTGATAGTGTTTATTTTTTTAGATTTGTAATAGGCTATATTTTAATATAGAAATGTAGCAAATTGC